TCTCTGATGGAGGAGGAGCCCAGCGATGCAGAGGAAGAGCCCGGTCTGGTTCACTGATGCTGTGTGAAGGGAGAGTCCTCGGAATAGGGCTCTGCCTGGAGGGCGTTTGCTGGGCACTGGCCTCCTTCAGTGAAACCATCCCAATGTGGGTCTCGCTAGTGGGGACTGTGGTGGAACAGTCCTAGAGGACTGCCTGGAGGAGTTGTGGCAGTCCCAAGTTCCATCAGAGACCACCAGTTCTAGTGCTCTCGGCCTTGCCTGCTTCAGCCAGGCCAGCGTCATGGAAGCAACTATCTTTCCATTAAGCATAAAGCTTTGGCCACACCAAAAAGGCTCCTCCTGCTCCGGGCCCACCTCCTCTCCTCTGGCTCATAGGTGAGCATCGTGCCACTTACTCCACATTACCCCAAAGCCAGACCCAGCCATTCTCCAGCCACCTGGGGGCACGGCACTACTATTTCTGTTAGACAGATGGGGACACTAAGGCTCTGGGAAGAAGAGTCCAGGTCTGGACACGGGGAATCTGGGGAGCTATGAACTACGATCTTCAAGTTGCCGGCCAGTAGGCAGCTGACTCCAGTTCAAGAGTTCTAGGGGGAGGGGGACAAGCCCTGGAATGATCGCAGCCCTGGACTCTAACCCCACTTCCTCTCAGTGACTATGGACAAGCTACTTTGCTTCTCTAGGTTTCAGGCTTGCATCTTCGAAATGGGGTAGACGAGAGGCACCTGCCCAGCTCATCTCCATCCCCTGTGGCTCACCTCCGAGGGTGCAAACTACTGAGGGCCGGGAGAGGAACAGGCCTTGTGGGAGACCCCCCCCCCCTCCGGGTCTGGGGAAAGGGTAGAAGATGGCCTTACTGTTACTGTGAGAGAAGCTGCTAGAAGGTAGGGCTGGCCGCACCTCTACCCCCGCCCATGCAGAGACCAGAACAAAGGGTCTGTTCGCCAGGACCAGAACCCAAGTCACCGGCAACTGATACCTAAAGGTGGAGGGCTGGACACAGAGGGCAGAGCTAATGGGGGCAGGGCCCGCTTATAGCTCCAGCCCAGCTCCCCTGCAGCCCCCACAGGGACCTTGGCAGCCATCGACATCTGCCCAGACAAAAAAAGACGAAAACGGTGGCTAGGGAATAGTTACAATGACAGCCACAGCAGCTCCCTTCAGCATCACCTCACAAATCCTCTAGTGCTCCCTGTGTCCTCTCTGAGGCAGGCGCGGTCACTTTCCTCACTCCACAGCCAGGAATTTTCTCGGGGTCAGTGAGGTTGAGGGAGACTCCCCAGAACCAAGAACCAAGTTCATGGCACACAATCCAAACAGGGGTGGAGGTGGTTGGGGGGCGGTGTTGGGATAAAGCCAGGGAGTGGGGTCCTGTTGGCCAGGATTAAACCTCATCTCCTTGAGTCTCAGATGTGGGAGGCTCAGCCTGCTGCCCAGGGGTGACCACTGCCATGAGCGCTCAGGCAGTGGGTCGCACGGCCTGCCGAAGCTGGGGAGCAAGGCCCACACCATGCAGTTGGGGCAGCGAGGGCTCACTCACCACAAGAGGTTGTTGAGTTGCTGGCAAAGCCTGAACCTGCTTTATTTTTATAAAACTTGTCTAGCAGGTTGGTGTGAAGGGACTGCCCAGGCCTGCACGGGCTTCATGTCTCCTGAGGAAGACGGCCTTTGTGAAGTCTCCAGAAGCCTCCTGCTTTCTTGATCAGGACTTATTTCAAGGGCCCGCCCCTGCCTGTCCCTGTGGGCTGCTGTGCACGCTGGGAGCATTCCCGTCTGAGAGCGTGAGCTGCCCAGGTCTGTCCCCAGCCTGATCCAGACTTGGGTTCTGCCTGGGCCCAGCGAGATTTGCTCAGCTGGCCAATTAAAAGCTGAGCCTGGGTATAGGGGCACTGATGATCGGGGGGTATTAGCTTGGTGATCATGGGAGGAGCATTCCAGCAAGACCTCACTGACAAGAGAAATCTGGTTGGCCTGGTGTTATCTCTGTCCCAAAGTCATTCCAAAAAGCTATTGTGAGTCTAGGGAGAGATACCACATGGGATCATTCTCCCCATGGCCTGGTAGAGTCTTCCAGGGCCCAGCCTCAAGTCCCTGGGCCTGCTGCCTCCTCCAGGAAGTGCCCCTGACCCCCACCCCCTTTTCTGTGTCCCCTCTGCACCCTGTGGGTGCCAAAGCTCTAGCGTGCCAGCTCTGGGGAGGCAGAGCAGAACAGTGGTTATACCAACAAGGTCTCGAGAAGGATCTGAAGCCTGACTCTGACCCTTGCAAGACATGTGTCCCTGAAAAAACCCCACCTCCACTCTCTGAGTCTTACTTCTTCGGCTGTAAATGGGGACAACCTCTGCTGGTATTCGAGGCTGCAGGGAGAACTCCTGGGGCACAGACTCTGCCCAGGGTCCCCAGGTTGCCCTCCTTACCTCCTCCTGCTCCCCACTGCCACCTCTCCTGCTATGCCCTACACCCCTCAACCTCTTCTCCCGCTTCCTGTCCCCATCTGGCTGATGGGCTCACTCCTGAGAAATGACATGATGTCATAGCATTTCCCTGCTAAACTCGAAGGAGGCCCTCTGCCACCCCAGGATGTAATTCACACACTCCCTCTGCTCCAGGGCAGCCATTCTGGACTTCTTGCTCCTGATCACAGCAGGTTTGTTCCTGGGCCCTGGCACTGGCGGCTCCTTCTCCCTAAATGTCCTTTGCCTACGTTGTCTGCATAGCCAGCTCCTGCTCAAGTGTCCAGGCTCTCAGTCCCTGGAGCTCCCCCGATCCCCAATCTGTAGCAGGGTCCCCACACCCAAAGCCAGTCTCTGCCCTGCTCCCCTGTCTTGCCTTCTTTACACTCTTCAAACTTGTCCCCAGTGCCCACTTGTTTATTGTCTCTCACTCACCAGCCCAGGAGTCCCACGATGATGGGACTTGTTCCCTGCTATGTCCCCAGGGCCCAGATGGAGTCTGGCCTAGCAGGTCTTAAGCCCCAGCGGGACTTAACCGACGGCTCCTTCACTTGTCCCCGGCTGGTGCTGGCAGGGCATGGCCCCTTTCCTAGCCCAGAGTCCCCCAGCAGTGACTACACCCATGGGACGATTTTTAGCCTCTGTTAGGCTGGGTCTCTGACTTGGGTTTGGGCCCGATGACATGCCTTCCTTCTATCGTCTCTCCTCTAGGCAGGCATCACTCCCTCCCCTGATATGGAAACATGAAAAGACTGAGGCAGAAAAATAGCAGGTGAATGAAGTAGCTGGCAGCCCTCCACCACCAGGAGCTGGAGCCTGGCTTGTACTGAGGCGAAGGGGGATGGACAGGACCCTGTTGACCAGACCGTCTGGCCCAGATGACTTAGCACATAAGGACACAGGAGGGTAACACCAGTATCTAAGATCAACTTGCCTGAAGGCTGCCAACCCCAGCTGCCCATTCTTGCTGGCTCATGTAGCAGCCCCCGGGGCAGGGGGTCATTACCCTTGAGGTAAGCTCCGCTCTGTGCCTCACCTACCAGCCAGGGCCTTGCCCCCTCTGGGCCTCAGTTTTCTCATCCGTGGAGTATGGGTCTATTCAAACCTATTCCCATAGTGCAAAGGCCTCGTCCATTGCCAGCACCTGGCGGGTCCCCTGAGCCACCTCCCCTGCTGCAGACAATATGGAGTCTGTGGGCCTCCTCCTGCTATAGCAGCTTTCTGTCCAGACCATGACGTGAAGCGGGAAACACCCTGCTTTTGACCCCTCTGTGTCCACTACTCATCCATTGGGTGACTCAGACCTGGGGGTGGGGCAGACGGAGGAGTCACAAAGGGGCTGAGATCCAGGCGGGAGCAATGAGGAACAGCAGACGTCCCTGGCAGGGTCATGGTGACCTGGAGGAGGCGTGCTGTCTGGCCCTGCCGCCAACAACAGAGAGGGTGCCAGGCTGGGCACCGGGGCCCGGGCACTAGTCCCAGGGAAGTCGGCCTTCACTCACCTCTTATTCACTCCTGTCCAGTATCAGCTCTATTCTTTGCTAGAACCATCTCCATGCCCACACGTTTCTGTGCCTCCATAGTTCTGGCTTTTAGCCCTTCCTGCTTCCTCCTTGCCGTAAGTATAGCACTCCTGATACCCTTCCGCTCTCAATCTGCCAGCATTTGTCTCTTCTAATCATCTAAGTCCCAAGAAAATAGGAAGGTTAGAACGATTTCTAAAATGAGGGTCAGGAGGCTATAAATGAGTTTCAGAGCAGCTTTCCTATGAGTTGTTCAAGTGGAAGTGTGGAAAATTTCAGGACACAGTGGAATTTCAGGTACAGAAGCCTTAGAAAGTCAGGCCATCGGGTGATGGAGAGTGTTTTCATTTTAACGGCTCTTCCATCTACTTCTGGGTTATAGGGCCCTGAGAGGAGAGGGGTGCCTCTAACCCCAACTAACCTGTGTCACAGCCCTTCCAGGTCCCACCTCAGGGACTATCTTATTGGCCACTATCCCCAGCTCCACTGTTCTGCCGCACTGCACAGAATGACCCTTCCCCATGCCTCCTTGTGGTCCGGGAATAGGAGCTTCCCAGTCACGACCTGGTGCTTCTGCACTCCCTGTACCTCCTCCCTGAAATGACTGGCTCTGACTTTGCTGTTGGCCTCATCTCTGAAGACACAGCCCCTAGGAGTGGGTGACCCCGTAGCACCCATCCCCCAGCATCCTCCACGTTCGGTCTTTAATTGACATCTGTTTACACCTCTCAGGTCTGGTGCCCTTCTGCCACTCTCCCCCGCTGGCAGCGGCCTGGTCAGTGACCCTGCAGGCAGTCCAGCTGGCCTTCACCTCCTGCTTCCCATCCTCCAAGGGAAACAACAAGTAGTGAGAGAGGAAGGCTGCTCCCTGTTCTCCTCTACCCTTGAGGGGGTTCCCTAGCAGGACTGCTTAGCTACACAAGGTTGGTGGGCCCCAGCTGATCCAGATGTAAAGTGGCAGATAATAATATCATCAAAGGGGACAAACTGTATAAGAACCCAAAGAGGACCCATGCAGGGCTCCTTAAATGAAAAGTACAATTTTATTGTCAATACAGAAAAATCAGTAGAAGAAAAAAGACTACCAAACTGGGCTCTGCTTGTTATAATAATTATTTGATGAAGTCTTACAGATATGTATGCCTTTTCCTCTCACGTGCAGGTGCCTTCCCAGGCAGGAAGTGGGCCCAGCACACCCGGGGCGACCCGCGCGCTCCCGCAGGCCCGTGGCCCAGCCAGACCAGCTCTGTGCAGGTAGGGCTCTGCCCTGCAGGGGTGGGGAGAGGTGGGCTCTGCTGGGCACTGACGTCCAGGCTCCTATTTTCTTGTCCATTTATCTACCCTTCCAAAGCAGAGCTGGGGGCAGAAGAGTGGGGGACACATTCACAGGTAGGTGGGTCAGTGCCAGGATATCCAGAACTGCCTTGGGTCCAGCAACAGGTCTCAGGGTGGGGCTTTCCACAAGGAAGAACCAGAGAAGCTGGGGCAGAGCTGGGGTCTCGAGAGCACTTGGGGCTCAGGGCAGAGACGTGGGGTTGGGTCAGCTTGAGACTAACCCAAAGAGAATAAATAAATAAATACTGTATAACTTGGCAGTCCCCCAGCCTGGCCTATTCCCCCACTGGGGGGACCGTCACTGCCAGCCTCAGTTCCTCTAGCCACCATCTGCACTGAGACAGGGTGGCTGGAAGGAGGGGGCCCGCCCTACCCCTGTGGACTGAGAAACCAGGGCCGGCAAAGTCTACATAGTTCAGGAGGCCATAGCAGGCAAGTGGGGGCCTGGGCCCAGCCCACAGGATGAGACAGGTCCTGCCTGTCTCCCTCTCTTCTGACCCATGGCTCACCCCAGCCACATGGGGGTTGGGGGGGCTGACTTCTAGGTTGTGGGATGCTTTTCCAGACATCCCCCACCCCTGTAGCCTCGCTCCTGCTGACTCTTCCTGCTCCAGCTGGTCAGGTGCACACAGACACCGGGTGACCTGAGGAGGGATGACGAGAGCCCAAGTCCAGCTGGGGCTGGCGTCCCCTCCAGGGTATGGCCGGATGAGGCCCGGCAGCCATACTGGCAGGTCAGAGCTGGAAGGGGTACTGCCGGAGGTAGTCGGCCATGCGCCGGGGCAGCGGCAGGCAGTCCACGTCAGCCACCAGGCGGTTGATGACGAGGCGGCACAGGTGCTGCAGGCTGCGGGCACTGCTTCGGCGCACAAACGGTTGTACCAGCTTCAGGTGCACGGCCGTGACTGTGGGCACGGGCAGCGCCGGGTCGCCGGGCACATCCTCCTTCGGAGTAGGCGGGGCCGGCGTGGGTGCAGGGTCAGGGCTGTCGCTCCGGGGGTCGGCGGCACAGGAGGCCACATAGTGCTGCACCAGGCTGACCACGTCGGGGAAGGCCAGGATGCGTGGCCTGGACAGGCAGTTGGAGTCCAGGCGGAAGCTGGAGTCGGCGTACTCGATGCGCACATTGGTGGGGCCTCGGGTGGTTTTGACTGACAGGGTGAAGAGGTAGCTGGGGTGGGTGCTGTCGCGGACGAGGAATGTGCCTTCTGGCATCTTCTGCAGGTGTTGCCGGGCCTCGCTGGCCGTAATGGAACCCCAGTACCAGCCTAGGCAAGTGGAGAGGGGGCAGAGAGCCTGGTCAGTGGGGCATTCAGCAGGGGCGCAAAGCAGGGGAGGACTCCGCCTCCCCCTTTATGCTTCCATGGGGAGCACTGCACCTTCCCCATCAGACTCTCCAGGGCAGGGAGACTCAACAGATAGAGCTAAGCTTTCCCCACTGGACTTCCCAGAACAAGGCCTGCTTCTCTCCTCGAACTCACCAGATTCCCGGAGGTAAGAGAAGGTCTTGGCTATGCACAGCAGGTCCTCCTCTGGGTCCAGCACCTTGGGCTCACTCTTCGGCTGGGCTGGGGTCTCCTCTGCCACTTCCTCCAGAAAGGCCCCGGCAGGCAAAGGCTGCATAGCTGGTTCGGGCAGCTCCAGGGACTGGGCCCACAGGGGCCGCTGCCCGATCCGCTCCACAGCCAGCAAAGAACAAGGCCTAGAAAAGAGGGGATGGGCAGTGAGTGGAGGCCCTGTGCTCACCCTGCTTCCAGAGATCCCCTGCGCCCGGGGCCGGCTACATGACTTCTGGCCCGTCCATCTCGGTTCCCCCCTCCGCCCACTCATGGGCTCAATGATGTCAGCACACCACCTCCCAGCTGTCACCACAAAAGCCTCCTTGATGGCTTCCCCCACATGGAGATTCACTTTTGAAAGAGCCTCCTCTGCCTTCTTGCATTTATTGAACAGTAATTGCACTCTCTATTGTGCACCAACCCAAAACACAGATCATTCCTTAGAGGCATTTCTAGCTCAGAACAGGAAACTGGTGTCCCCGCCACCAGTAGGATCCAGTGTAAAGAAGCTTCACATTGGTGCCCTGTGGGCTGAGGTGGGCTGATTACACGGCACTGGTCCTGCTTGAACCATGGCCTGAACCTTCGTGGAGTGCTCCAGAGGCCCCCAAATTATGGTAGGATGCTTGACAGGAGTACCTGTCAGGGGGAACTCGGTCTAAACTGGCCAGGGCTGAGCGGTGGGAACAATCTCCCCAAACAGGTCAGACTTCCATCCCGTTTCCTCCTCCTCCCATCTGAGGGTCTGGGATGGACACTGGCCTCTAAGGGCACTAGTAAGTCCCACCTCCCACAAACATAAGCTCCCGAGAAAGGGCAAGGTAGTCATTCCACGTTCCAGATCCCACCCTGGCAAGCCAGCCCTACTAGGCTTTCTGATCTTATGCAAACCTTGCTGTTCAGCTTCTCCACCCTCTAATGAGGGGTACTCCCAGACTAGATCCTGACGGGTTTGGCTATACCGTGTTCTCTGGTGACAAGAGTTGGGCTGCCGAGCTAGTCCCAATCTGAGCAGTGGCCTTTCTCTAGGGGAAGACCACCCAGCATGGTTATCCTAGGGCTTCCTGGGAGTGAGGGGCGTGGGCCCTGGCTCCCAAGAAGAGACTGCTGGTCCTTCCTCACTCCTCATGAAATACATCCTCAGGCCTCAGTTCTGGGTCTGGTCCCCTGCTGGGCCTCAGGACACCAAGATAACAAAACCATGGGCTTTGCCTTCAAGGAGAACTTATAAACCGAAGTCATAAAAGCAAAGGGTGTCATGGGGGAGTCAAGGTCTGCCTGTTCCTGAGCTGAATCTGTCAGGCCAAAGGAAGGAGCGGAGGGAAGGTGCTCCATCCAGGTAGAGATGACAGCATGGGTAAGTGCCCGGGATTTCTTACGAGGCGGGAAGAGGTGTCGGACAGAAGCCTTGGCAGGGCGCGGACAGAGGAGTCAGATCTCACAGTGTAGGTTATCGCTGAGCGTTAGAAGATTTTTTTTCAATATTTTATTTATTTGACAGACAGAGATCACAAGTAGGCAGAAAGACAGGCAGAGAGAGAGGAAGTAGGCTCCCCGCTGAGCAGAGAGCCCCATGCGGGGCTCGATCCCAGGACCCTGAGACCATGACCTGAGCCGAAGGCAGAGGCTTAACCCACTGAGCCACCCAGGCACCCCATGTTAGAAGATTTTAACAAATCGGGAGAAGGGGTCACAAGACCCTGGCCTACCACAGTCTGCATAGTACTTGCCCACACCCACTCTGGGTACCTTATGGGAGTTCTGGAATCCTACTAGGGGAGCCAGAGGCCAAGCTCCAAGGAACCAGCTGGAGGCCTGCCTGTTGGGTCCCCCAGCTCAGCTCAGGCTAGCCACTCAGGCCAGAACCTCCAGTGGTGGCCCTGTCCTGACAGCTTAGCAGGGCACTTGTGGGTGTGGGCACCTCTAGGGTCAACATGGTTTCTGGGTGTGTGAACAGCCCTATTGGTCTCCTGGTGAATGACAAGCCCCCGGTGAGTGACTGTATCTGAGGAGGGGTGTGTCCACAGCTGTCATCGCCACGGCGGGGGTGACAGCGGGTGTGCTCTAGGTGTGGGTGGCCTGTACCTGTGTTTGCCTGTTGCGGAGCCCAGCCTGTGAGTCCTGAATGGGGACACATGCCAGTGGAGCATACTCAGCCCTGAGGGTGGGCGCCTCCAACAAAGCCAGCAGCCCAAACCTACCTGGGGAGGGCACCAGATGGGCTGTGGCTGTGGCTGTATATGTGGAGGTCTTAAAAATCTTGCTCCCTGGGGCGCCTGGGTGGCTCAGTCATTAAGAGTCTACCTTCAGCTCAGGTCATGATCCCAGGATCCCAGGGATCCCACATCAGGTTCCCTGCTCAGTGAGAAGCCTGCTTCTCCCTCTCCCACTCCCCCTGCTTGTGTTCCCGCTCTTGCTGTTTCTCTGTGTCAAATAAATAAAATCTTAAAAAAAAAAAAAAATCTTGCTCCCTGACACCAAACACTGGCCCTGTGGAGAATGTGGAACCCCAGAATTGGGGGAGGGGTCCTGAGAACAAGGGTGTGGGGGTGTTCGGGAGTCCCAAAATTCAGAGGAGGGAGATGTGGGAGACCATCAGGGAGAAGTATATAGTAGCATAGTCTTCCTAGCTCCTCCTGCTTCCCTTCTTGGAAACAGGACTGCTCAGGGCAACGGGCACTTCAGCCTTGCCCCACTTTCCACCCTTCTTCACTTGGTACTATGCCAGTTCTGATAACAACAGCCATTGGGCCACCCTGTGCTCCCTGGGTGTGGACACTCAGTCATCTCTCCTTTCTCTCCCCCTGGAGCTTTCTGAGTTCCTGTCAGATCAGTCCGGAGAGCATCAGACCTATCGGTTGAAGGGGATGCTAAGGTGGAAGGAATGTAAGAAGAACGTTCAGCTAAGGCCAAGACTCTTCTTATCAGCCCCCACCCCACCTCAGTCTTTGGGGGAAAGTTGGAGAAGGGAGGCAGGAGCCAAGTGCTCACAATGGGATCCCAGACTGGGTTGAGAGGAGGAGTGACGCAATTGTGGGGGTACCACAGTTAAATCGGGCCAAACTCAGGCTCTTCCAAGTGCTGCTGGCCAGCAGGTGCCAACCTGGGGGGAGCCATGGATCTCAGGCTGGCTTCCCAGGAAAAGCCTAGTCGCTAGCCCACGGCAGAAGGGTGGATGATGGGACAGAGCGGGGCAGGGGCTAACCCAAGGTCACCGGTAGGCCCTGCGGCCTGCAGGCTAGGGTAGAGAGCTCTGGGGCCAGAAGGGGGTCTGGGCAGGTGAGCCACGTCTTAGAGGACACGCTTCGCCGGCGTTCAACGCTCCAGCCAGAACCCAGGGTTAGGCTACCCTGTGTTCCTCCCGTCGTCAGCCGAACCCCAGTTTCACTACCCCCGGTACGAGCAGAGGTAGTGGCGGTGTTGTCACCGCTCCCTGTCGTCACCCCGAGCTCCTTCCGCACTCGGTCATCTCCGGCCCGTCCAGCCCTCTTACTGGCCGGCAGCGAGCACGAGGCGGTACTATCCCGAAAGCCCAGCGCAGAGGCCGGGCCGGGGGCGGCGAGCCGCACTTACCCCTGAACGCAGAGGACCATGTCCCGGCAGCGGCAGCGGCAGCTCCGGAGCTGGGGCTCGGCCGGACGGCGGCGACTGGAGCGAGCCAGTGGGCGAAGGGCTCCCTCGCAGGAGAGGCTCCCTCGGCGCACAGGCGGCGGGCTGAGACTGAGTGGCGACCGCGCGGGCGGGCCGGGAGGGCGCGGGGGGCGGGCCGGGAGGGCGGGGCGGGGCGAGCCGCCTAATCTTTTGTCCTCTGTGTCCCAACCCTTCCCGGAAGCGACGTCTTCCTAGAACCGCCGGCTGTGCTGCGGGGCTGGGGAGGGGTGTGGGCGGGGGCGCCGGCTCCCCAGGGCGGCGCTGAGGGCCGCTAAAGGAAACACCTTTGACAGATTTCCAAGAACTTTCCAGGAAAATGGGGCGGGGTCCCGCTCGCCGACCAATCGCAGCTCAGGGGGCGGAGCCGAGTGCCCGGGGCTGGCCAATTGCAGCTTTGGGATAGGAGGCTGAGGAACGAGCCGGGTTGAACGTGACCTAGAGAACAGCAGGGGAAGACCCGGTTGGAGAAAGCCAGGGAGGGGCAGGGGTTTTACCCACCCGAGCGCAGATTACTTTGGGCATTCCGCTTCCTTGGAGGCAGGCCCCTTTATCGCTCTGTAGAACTGGTGGCTGCGCAAGGGCAGGGTCACGGGCCTGTCCTGCCAGCTAGTGGCTCCCCCAAAGCTCTCTGGTGTGCAAGCGCCCCCTGTGGGCCGCATTTGGATACCCGGACTCTGTGTGGGGTGGTGGAGAACTCGGTGGCATGGGGTGGGATTTGGAGAAGGACGCGGAAGGAGGAGAGGGGTGCAGAGGGGGGGGCCTCAGATCCGAACAGGTCCACGGGGGTCAAGGATCTGCCACAGCTAAAAGGATCCAGGCGAGAATGTTTTCTCTGAAAGAGTTGGGGAAGAAGGCACATCCCAATCTTGGGATGGGGTAGGTGTGGCGACCTCATTAACCACTTGATGGCTGGGACACTGAGAGACCGCAGCATGGAGCACCTTGTAGGGTGCAGTCTCTTCAGCAGAAACTGTTACCACCCCATTACTGTGAAGACAAAAGGGCCTCACAGCTGCCAAGCGACAGAACCAAGATTTGAACCTGGGTCCCTGTGGGGCCAGATCCCAAGCTCTCTACCCCAGGACTACCTCTTCCCTCTAACTGTGACTACTTCACTGAACATTTCATATGTGCCATGTATGATCTGTGATTTCCAGCCTCATTTCCTTGTCTAACCACTACACATTGTGTCCTCTTTACAGGTGATGAGATGGAGGTACAGAGAAGTGAAAATGTACCCCAGATCTCACAGCCGGCAAATGATGAGTTGGTGCTTGGAGCACAGTAACATTCCACCCCCCCCCCCCCCCGGGTTCCTTGATATGACAGCTCCTAGGCATCCTTCAGGATCCAGCTTTAAGGTCCACAGTGAAGCTTCCCTGCCCCTAGGCCAGTCAAATGTCAGAGCACCATGGGTGTCCCATTGAAAGCTCCCTTAAGGGATTTCGGCAGTGATGCAGTTTTGTGTGTTAAACTAAAAGGCCCCAAGGGCCTCCAATCACCGTCTGTGAATGTGACAGAGTATTGCGCCTCACCTGTGTGAGTGGTCTATGATGTGCCCCTGTTCTGCCCCAGGTGTTGTGGGTCCCTCTGGCCTTCTCATTAACACCTCTCCCGCTCTGGCTGCTCCCTACCCACCCCTGCTCTGACTGCTGGGCCCACGATGCCACCCAGTGGCAATTCCTCTCATGCTTTCACTCGACAAATTTCCTTATTCTCTCCCGGGTAAGCCCTGCCTGCACTCCAGGGATTGGCTTTTGCTGCAGGGTCTCCCAGCTCCTCCCCACTAGGAACAGTCACAAGATGGGTCAGTTACAGTAATACACAGCAGTGCCTTCCTTAAAGTCTGGCTTATTTGGTCTCTTTAGTCTCATCACTTGTAGCCATTCCTCTCCCGGAAGAATAGTCTACGTGTGTGTGTGTGTGTGTGTGTGTGTGTGTGTATGTGTGTATGTGTCAGGGATATATTCAGTCCTCTACACCATTCTCCCCTGGACACACACACACACACTCACTCACTCACTGGACCCTTTCATCACTGTAAACTATTTCAAAGTCCTCAGCCCTTGGCCCCTTGGACATACAGCTATCACGGAGGGCTGTGTGGCAAAGTCTGACACCATGAACCCACCCCTACTCTGGCCCAGCTATCCCAAACAGTGAATTCTCCCATCAGTGTGCTGGCAAATGAGCAGCTAGGGGAAACCACGTATTCTGAGTCTCTTGTGTTGAGTGAATAGTTGAAAACATCTATGATGGACCTACGTGGGCACTGTGTGTCCTTGAGTAAGCATTGGCACTGGTGGTGGAGACTGCAAAGGAGCAAGCATTGCCATTGTTTACTTTTTACATTTCCCTATGGCTTGAATTTATTATAACAAGCAAGTTTTACTTATGCAATTAAAATCTGAATTAAAAAGAGATCAGTTTAAAAATATAATGATAGGGGCACCTGGGTGGCTCCATTGGTTAAGCATCGGTCTTCAGCTCAGGTCATGATCCCAGGGTCCTGAGATCAAGCCCCGCATTGGGCTCTCCGCTCATCGGGGAATCTGCATCTCCCTCTACTCCTCCCCCCTGCTCATGATCTCTCTCTGTCTCACGCTCTCTCTCTCAAATAAGTACATAAATCTTTAAAAAAATACAATTGTAAAATGTTTAGAACAATTGTTATCTGATTCTATTTTTAGAAAATAAGCTAGCAACCGCAGCATACACTGAGATAATTTGGCTGGGACAAGGAGCCAGCTCCCACCCTCAGCTGCCTGGCACTCTGCTTGTGAGTGGGATCCCACTTGTCCAGAATGAACTCTTGCTCAGCTTTGGTTTCATCTGGCCCAAACCAGGTCACCTCCAGAGGGAGGATCCTTCTCCAGTCTCCAAGCTATGGAAGCTTCCAGATCACAGGGCTTCCTTCACGTCTCTGAGATCTTGGATCAGATTCTCAGGTGGGGTTCTGTGACTGAGGTTCTGGGTCCAGCCGGGAGTAAAGGTCTGTGTGTGTGTGCATGCCTGTGTTGTGCACATGTGCAAATCTGTGCTTGTTCATATGCGTGCATCTGTGAACACATGTGAGAGCGTATTTGTACAAGTGAATGTGGGAAGGGGGCAGGGAGGCACAGGAAAGGAGGGCATCATTTGAGGGTGAGAGCTGGGCCCTGGAGTTGTTCTTTGGGGGTTGGGATGGAGACCCTGCCATGAGTGCTGCTGACCTCAGACAGGTTGCTTGATCTCTTCGGGCATGTCTGTCTGGTAGGTTATGTGGGGTGGGTACAGCACTGCCTCCTCTGGTCCCAGTGAGGTCACAGAGTGTCCAGATAGTACCCCCACTCAGTGTCTGGTCCAAAAGAGGGGTTCAGTCAGTTGAGGCCATCATCAGGGTCTCTGCTTCACCAAACCCTGCCAGCTTGAAGGTTGTCTCAAGGAGACAGAACAGAGCCCCAGGCCCTTTCCTCTGGCTCAAGACCTACACACAGCAAGTACCAGTTCTCTGGGATCTAATGCTCTGAAGAGCCTTGGATCTGCAGCCCAGGAATCCACGTGCATCCACGTGCGTGCATGAGCGAGCGTGCGTGCGTGCGTGTGTGTGTTGCTGTACAGGGAGGTGGGCGGGAGCTCAATTTGGGCCCAATCCAAAGTCAGAAGGGCTCAGAGAACCCGGTGGGCCTGAAGCGTCAGTGCCTGCAGTCCTGCAAATGGTCAGTAGATGGCAGCAGAGGCCCGCGCAGGGACCCTAACCCAAGCCTCTCCCTCCTACTCCGAAGTGAACCGTCAAGTTCCAGTCCTTCAGCCTGAGGGTAGGGGAGTGGGCGGATATACTGGAGTAGTGCAGATTTGTCACAGAAGAGAGCAATATCCCCTGCGACTCTATGCAAGTTGTTTCCTCCTAGGAAACAACTCAGTTTCCTCATCTGTGGAATAAGAGTTGTTTAACAGCCTGTGATGGGAAAACTTGCTCAAAATACCCAAGATAGTCTAAGATGGGTTCAGAATAGAGACCTAAAAGTGGAAGGGAAAGCCACATAGCTAATATAGAGTATAATGAGTGCGAGGAGGAGACTTTTTAAATAGGACACCAAAAGCCCAAGCTATAAGGTGAAAAGTTAATGGATCTGACAAAATGGGAGTTTAGGATGTCTGGTCTATGGACGCTGTATCCCAAGGGAAAAAAAATAAGCCACGGATATGAGCAGGAGATGCACAGAAAGTGAGAGACACCCAGAGTCCCCAGAGACTGGAAGGGTGCGAATCACAACGAAATGTTATTTCACTTGTCCTGATGGCAAAAATTAAGACTTTAGTGGGCCACCACTAAGGAAGTCGCAGGACTTACAAGCCTCGCTGGAGGGCCGTCTGCAGAGTACAGAAAAGACGCCCGACTCAAGTGGCTTCCTGAGGCTCCGAGATAAACAAGATTTCCTGCGCTGTCACTTCCTAGGGCGCTGGTAAACTCCGGGGCTCACATAGGCCTCGAGGGTGTCGGGAGAACCAAGAAGGTTTCCGCCCTCTTCGAGAAGCCACGCCCCCTATTCTGTCCGGGCTCAGGGGCGGGGCCCGTTGGGGCCTCCCTCCCAGCCTGGTCTTGCCAGGGCCGGCCTAGCCCTTTAAGGCTTACCGAGCCCGCTCCAAGTCCCGGACGCAAGGGGGTAGGGGGGGGGAGGGGAGCGGTCACGTGGGCGGTCCCTGGCGGGACTCGGCTCTAGGAGCTCGCGGCCGCGGGTTCCCGGGACTGGGGTCCCTGTCCCTCGCCGGCGCCAGCCAGGTACTCTGCTGTCAGGGACGGCCTCGCCAGGTACGCCCTCGTAGGGCTCCCTCCAACTTCCGTTCCCAGAACCTCGCGGCCACTTGGCTCCCAGACCCTTCCCCTCTTGACAGGTGTCGGGCGGGACTCGCTAGTGCCTGGTTGCGCGACCACCGCCCACTGCCTCGAGTCCGTACTCTCGGACAGTTCGCTTCCCGCTGTCTGCTGCCGGCAGCCCAGCCAGGATCGGGGGCTCTGGCTGGGGTGTACTGGAGGAGTCTAAGCGGAACTCATTCTTCCCTTCTCCCCCAGGTGGCCCTGGACGCGCCAGGCTGGGGTCGCCTCTGAGCGCCCCCCGGGGCCATGGATGGCGAGACAGCAGAGGAGCTGAGGGGTCCTATGCCCCCGCAAGGTGCACCCTGCGGACCTGGCTCGGCTGGCGCTCCTGCCGTCGGGGGGCGGCGGGAGCCCAAGAAGTATGCGGTGACCGATGACTACCAGTTGTCCAAGCAGGTGCTGGGCCTGGGTGTGAACGGCAAGGTGCTGGAGTGCTTCCACAGGCGCACTGGGCAGAAGTGTGCCCTGAAGGTCAGTGACCCCCTCACTGCTCCGTGGGCGACCTGGGAGGCCCAACAGCAGCCGCTTGTGGGTGCACCGTATGATCAGTCTCTCCTTTCATTCTCACATTCCCCTGTGAAGTCAGCCTCCTGGTCCTACTTGCTTTACAGACAGGGAAAACAAGGCTTAGCCTAGTTAAGCTCGGGGTGTCTCAGAAAGCAAGGGGTGGAGTCAGTAGGGGTAGAGTCTGTTGGACCCGGAAACAGGGAAGGAGTGGTTCCTGACTCTGGGGTTATGGCTGGGCCTATGTGTTCTGGCCAAAGGCGGGAAGCCCTCACTCAGCTTGGTTGTTCCTTCTATGAGAAGCTCTTCTTTTTTTCATGAGAAGCTCTTCTGACTGGAATGGAACTGAGTTTCCTTCTGCCTAAGGCTGAGTTCCCACCGAGGCTTGGGGTGGGGCTGCTTTCTCTTGTGGCCCCTGTCTGCCCCCGCTGGAGTGATGGGTGGGAGCCTCCCAGGGCTCTCTGGTGGGCAGGGATAGAGCCCATCACACCTGTGAGCAAGAGGTTGCTGATGGGCTCCAGCTGAGTCACCGGCCCTATTTTGAAAAGGGTAGGTCCTGCTCCAAGCCTGACTCACCCTGGTTCCTGGGCAGAGGGCGGGCCAGCCATCTATCTGTGTCACACCATAGGCTCCCTGGAGGCCAAGAACTCTCTGATACAAGGGGAATCCAGGGAGTTCTGGGGGTGGCTGATGTAGCCACATAGTTCTGGCTTAAGTCATTTATTTCTGGGCTGAGGACCTACCCCCTACCGAGAATGCTCTGAATCTGTGGTCACTGGGAACCTGACTCAACTGTAATTTGTGCCAGCGGCCACCTGGACGGGTAGATCGTGGCAAAGAAAGTGGCTCCTGTATTAGAACACAGCAAAGGATCTTCTCCTTTTACAGACATAGCAATTATGAGCCTGAGTGCAGGGTTCTGCGGATGTGGCTCTAATCTCTGGCCTGCATTTGCCAGCTCTGTGACCTTGCACTAGGTCCTGGACTCTGGAAATCAGGTTTCTGGCTCTGTTCAGGGGAAAAGATAAGGAGTTGATGTGAACTTGGGAGGAGACGATGCCTGTAGAGTAACTGGTACTGGGCCTGGTACAGGCCTGGAGAGGTTACAGGACTTATTTAGGTCATAGTGTCTGCAAGCATCTGAGCAGGGACCTGGGTCGAACTCCCTTTGTCTTTCCTAGGGGCACTAGGGCTGATGGGATGGGTCTGGAGGAGGCTCAGGGCTGGGCTGGTGAGGCTGAGTCTCAGATACAACTTGTTTACCTACTAACCCTACTAACTCTGAGTCCTCCGGAGGAAAACTGGCTCTTCTCGGGGGGTGAATCTCTACCCTTTCCCTCAGCACCATCTCTCCACTCTCACCTCTGTGGGTCAGGGGCAGTCTGGGTGGATAGACAACGGGCCGACTGAAGCCAGAGAACCTCTTCTTACTACCAAGGCTTTGGCCTTGTGAGCCAGGCCTGAGCTCTGATCGGCCCCTGTGGTGTTCCAGATGCTGTGAGCCAGGCAGGGATGGAGTGAGAGGCCAGAGATCTGGGACCCAGACAGTACCAGCTTTAAGCAGGGCTGGGTCTAGGCCCTTCTCCATGGGTGCTGTGTCTGACAAGTGACTTGGGGACACTTCTGACTGCAACGGTTTCTAAAACACCTCCTCTTGAATCTAGGACCTCAGTGCTTTCTCTGTTCTAGACTGGGAATAGGGCAGGCCTAGAACAAATCCCCCTGCTATACCCCTTTAGGCTTGATGGGTGAGTGTGGCTGGGGCTACTGCCTTGGGACCTTCAGGAGCTGGCCTCTAGGAGGACATGGATTAGATGTGGCTCCCACTCCAATATCTTCCTTGACTTGCCCCCAGTCCCCCTCTAGTGAGCGAATTTGGAAGTTTCTGCCATCTGGCAGGTCTTTACCATCTTCCAAGATGGCACTAACGCCGCTTCTGAAACATTGTACCTGTCCTGTGAGTGATGGCTTCAGCCTCAAGGAGGAGGAGCGTGGCATTTTTCTGCTTAGCTTCTGCCCCCTGCCATCTCTGCCCTTCTGGGTGATACAGGCCTAGGTGGTACAGGACAGGACAAGTGCAGGTCCTCTTGGCCCTGTTGCTCAAGATGGCAGAGTGCTTAGCCCAAAGTCCGGAATGTAGCAGGCACGCCTAAAACAGGAAGAGTTGTGGTCAGTGTCCCCATAGCAGTTACTGTTCTCCAGGGGCCCTGGAGGGAAGGCTCCTCCCCGGGGTGCTGGGGCTCCTCCCCAGGGTGCTGGGCCTCTTCCCCTCAGCCCCTTCCACTGTTGTGGTCCATCTTGGCCTTGCTCCCACTCAGTGGCTCCCTCCCAAGGCCAGCTTCTGCTGCTGGTACGGTCATCCCACCCTCCGTTCCACCCTCAGCACTTGCTGCTGACCTCTTGGCAGGACCTAGAGGGGACTGCCTGCCAGGAATGGGGGCAGGAGGCTGCTTCCTACTGACATCTTGTGCCCCCTCCTAGGCCTGACTGATGAGCTGGTACCCCTCAGTTTCACTCCTAGCTGGCTACAGCCCTACATATCTGTCCCCCATTAGTCACCCCACCACATCTGAGACACAATCCCTCAGTCCTTATCATGTGTATGAAAACTGTGACTTGGAGTCAGTGGTCGGAAACCATGTGGCTTGACTGGGATGACAGACTGTAGCAGAGGCCAGGTTTCCTCCCCTCCTGACTTCCTGCCCAGCCCACTTGGGGTCCTCTCCCATACAGCAGGCAGGAGTGACTGTGGCACTTAGATAAATAAACAATAAAAAAATTAAATAATAAGTAAATAAATAAATAAAATAAATTAAAAAACAATAAGAGGTTCTGAGAGGACAGAGAGGGCTCTGCACGTGGGGAAAGTGGAGTCTTCTTTCCCGCCCCTGCTCTCTGGACTCTGGGGCTCGGGGCCCTCCTCTCTGACCACTGGAGTATGTCGGAGACCCCTGAGGCTCCCCGTGCCTTCCTCTTCTTTTCTTCATCAGATGGAGTGGAGTGGTGGGGTGCTGGAGCCCAGGCTGGGGAGCTGCCCCAGGGCTCCATGGGTGCGGCCTGCCTGCCAAAGCTGGCCCTGGTGAGCCAGAGTGGAGGCTGGGTGGGGCTGCCAGGCAGGCCAGGTACTTTCTCATTTGGCAGCTGCCACCCCCTCACCTGCCATCTCCAGACTGGTCAGATCAGCCTGGGCAGGGCCATCTGTTACCGAGTCAACAACTTGGGAAGCGTGTGGTAGGGTGGGCAGCCCTGCCAGCCCTCCCTGTCTGCTGGAGTCCCCCCAGGAGGGATTTCAGTGTACCCAGCCTCCTTCCTGGGCCGTCCCTCTTCTGGAAGGAAAGAATTGGGGGAGCTCGTGGGCTTCCATGCTGCTGGAACCTGCTGAACTGTCAGGGGTGGGCCATTGGCTGTTTAAACAAAGATCCTAGGAAGGGCATCAAGCCCTAAAGAATGCCAGTAGCGGAGTTTGGTGCAGAGATTGGTTGTTTTGAGCTGCTTCATACCTGCCCAGCTGGCCTTGCTCTCAGGTTTAGAAGCTGTGCTCAGAGCCTGCACCTCTGCTGGGGATCCCCTCTGCTGGGAGGGCCAGAATCTTCCCAGTCTTTCCAGGAGCTGATGCCGTCTCTCCAGGCTTCAGGCCTTGCTGCTGTGGATTCTGATATTCTCATAGACGGCCAACAGTTTTCCAGACTGTTCTCTCCGGCAGGCCCCATTCCCAGTGCATGGTACGTGTTCTCTTACCTAATTCCTGTCGTTCCCATTTTGTGGTTACTGTCACTGACATTCAGTAAGGTCAGCGACTTGCCCACCATGCACAGCTGAAGAGTGGTGGGGCTGTGATGGGACCCTAGGCATCTGATGCCAGAGTCTTTGTATTTAAGTCACCCCATGCCTTATGCTAGTTTATGGGGACAGGGGACGGTCTCTAAGACTAGGGCCCTGGATGGGTCCTGGCGTCCTCCTGCATGGCTCCGCTGGGAGCCCGAGTGGCGCTGCTCATATCTCTCTCTCTGCCCAGCTCTCCTCACTGTGTAGGTTCTGCCCGTGAGCGGACACATGGTCCCAAAGGCCAGCACACAAGGGACATGATGGCTATGGGGCTGTCTCAGAGAGGTTGTGTGGTTCCTCTCGAGTTCCTCGTGAGTCTCAGACAAGCCCAGCCTAGCAGCATCCAGACTGCCACAGGCAGGAAGTGAGGTTGGTGAGTGGGCGAGAGGAAACCGTGTCTGGGCTGGGCCACCCAGGGGAGACTTCCTGGAAGAGACTGCCAGCTTTAATCCAGGCCTCTGGTCTGAGAAGGATGTGGATGTCAGAGGAGGGGAGGGTGTGTGTGACAGCATGCCTGGTGTGGACCACTCGGCACTAGCTGCAGAGTTCTGCTTCCCCACTTCCAGCCGAGGGTCCTGGTCGGACGCAGTGCATCTCAGTGGGGTAGGGGACCAGGCCCCGGAAGACACTGGGAGCCATAGAGGGACTATGTGGAAGAAGAGGCCTTTATACGGGGCCTTGAAAAAAGGTCAGCGACTCCCCCTCTCATTTTCCCTCAACTCTGGTTCATACTGCACCCCCAGGGACCTCTGTCTGTCTTTGGTGTCCTCCCTCACTAAGCAGGCAGAAATCCTCCTTCCTTCTCCCGACACTTTCTTTCCTAATGTCGCCAGAACCCTCTTGGAGCACTGCTGTTCAGGGTCCTCTAGAGGCTTCTTGGTCTCCTGCACTGTGCTTTAGTTCAGGTCGTGTGTGAAGGGCCTGGTTTCTGTTGACAACAGAGGTCTGTTATGTCTCTGCTGAGGTCTGTTACATCTCGGGGAAGCTATTTCCCTACTTGGATTCCTCATCTTTTTCTCCAAGGGCCTCCTTGGGATATCATCATGGGATACCCCTGGGAGAGGACCATAGGTGGAGCGTTGGCTTTGTGGTCCACTCACCTCTTTTGGTTCCAGCCTGGTGACTGGCTGCCGGGTGTCCAAAGGTGATGGTCACCAGGCAAGTGTTGAAGACAATGACCATCCCTAGGTTTGGTAAGAGTGTGCCCCCCCGCAACATGTGTGGGTTTGCTGCTCTCGGGGCAGAAGAACATGGCTCCCACGGACTCCTGTGTTTCTTCCAGGAGAATTTTGGTTCTGTTATGCCTTGTTCCTGTCTACGCGAGATCTTTTGTGTTCCCACATGAGAGGCTGTCTGAGTGCATTTTTTTTTTTTTTTTTTTTTTTTTTTGGTGGCACGTTATTGACCTTTCTGAGGATTCCCTTGGGCTCTTGGGCACTTGGGGAAGCCAGCCCCTTGTGGGGTGAGAAAGAATAGTGTGAAAAGAATTTTGGGTCCTGAACTCCTCCCTACCCTCCCACCCTTTTGGAACTAAGTAGATTAGGCCCTGCATAATTGTGAATAAAATCCTGTTGCTGGGAACCATGGGGGTTTTGCTTAGAGCAGGAGAATAAGAGGAGGCTGCTGTTTGGGGGAACAAGGAGCCTCAGGAGGCCTTTTCTGCACTGGACAGGCCAGAGACACTGAGAATATTGATTTTGGGTTTTCTTGCAGTTTTGGTGTTAGAATTGCCTTTTCCTTTAGGCTAAGGCTTTTGTCCTCGCTGCTTTCTCTTTGTGACGCTTCTATTCTTCTTAGCTCCTGGTCGCTCTCATTTCTTCTTTCCCCTCTCTGTTTCCCTTGCTGTCACTTAGTTCCTCCCCTCTCTGGCCTTGTTACTCTTTGTCTTAGGAGTTTCAAGCTTAATGGGCCTCTTCTCTGCAGCCCACAGGTCAAGGCCAGACAGCAGACATATGGAGGCTAGTCAGGTGCTGGGGATTCATGCTAGTCACCGTGAAAGTCTCCCCAGACAGGGTAGGGTAGGCGTCAGACAGAAAGGAGGAGCTTCTGGCTTACGCATGCCACTCACAGTGTCCCCTCCTGCTGCTGGCCTTGACTAGGCGCCGGTAGCCTTGGCAGCCAATGCAGTGGAGTCAGGAACATTTGGGCCAAGCTTGTAACCCGAGGAGTCCCCTGTGGAGTGTAGGAAGTCAGCTTCAGTGGCGGCCTCCGCTGTTGGGTCTCCTTTTATGGCTCAGTGGTCTGAGACTCTTGCTCAGGACAACAGTGTGAGATCAGGAGCACTGTGACTCCCGAGGCTTCTCTGGCTGAGACTGAGGCTGAGGAAAGAAGGGGGCTGGGGTCAGAGCCAGTGGGAGGAACCTGTGGAGGGACTGGGAGGCCTTGAACATGAGGTACAACCTCCCTCTGCTCTAGGGGACAATATTGTGTGTGAGCTTCCTTGCACTGGCTGGGACGAACCCTCCAGAGCACCTGACTCTCTAGCCCGCACTCTGCACCTGACCCCGTCACCTGGGACACTCAAGGCTATTTTCAGGGGGGTGTGATGAGCCAGGGCCTGGACCTGCCACTCTCATCACTCCATTCCTGAGGGTTCAGCCTCCAACAAGGGACCCACAACTTGCTCTGTAGATGCTTCCCCAACACAAACAAGCCCCCTTCTCAGGGTGTGGCAGAGGGACAGGCTGGTAGCCTCCACGCTGTCTGGCAGGCAGTGGCACTTGGGGCAGAACTTGGGTGTGGGGGTGGGGATAAGAGCACCCACTTATCCCTTGAGTGCTTCCTCCATGCTGAACCCAGACACAGAAAAATCTAAGAATGGGTTGTATCACTCCCGGGTCACGGATGAGGACGCTGAGATTCCGGAAGGCACAGCTACGCCTCAGAGAAGCCTGTCTGGACTGTGTGGCAGTCAAGTTGTGGCTCTCAGCCATCCCTGGGATGCCAGACCTCTCTACCAGGCCACAGTCTCCCCATCTGTAAGATTAGGGGCTGGGCACTCTGCTTGACACGAGCCCCCCCTTCTAGCTGTGAAGACCTGTTTGATGGGCAGTGATTGTGGGCATTGCCAGAGAGGTGAGTAGGGGTGCAAGTAGACAGGCAGTGTGGAGACTGGCTAGAGGGGGCCCCAAGATGCCTCTCCGAAGCTGGCTGGTAACTGGTGTCACCAAGGAGACAATCAGCTTTGAGACTCCACCAGCAAGATCTGTGTGCTGCTATGGACAGGAGCTCTGGGGTTAGGACTTAGGTTGGAAGACCCCTTTCCACTGTACTCCATTGCCCAGTCAAAGCCTTTTGTCAGGCTGAGCCTATACCAGGGCGCATCTTTACCTGAGGAAGAACTGAGAGAATGGGGATGGGTCACCATTGCCTGTTCCTGTGGCAGGAGCATCCCTCGTGTGGCCAGGCCACTACCCTGGTCTTTCAGAGGAGGACTTCCCCTTCTTCATGGCTATGGCTCCATGGCATAATCCAAGACCAAGAAGTTTTCCCAGGAGTTGGAACCCTCAGAGTCCTCGAGCAAAAGAGGAGCAAGAAAGGGAGAGCAGCTGGGGCCTGTGGAGGTTGGAAGCCCCTCTGGGAGGAGCCTGAGTTAGGCCGTGGCTGCCTGTGCTCACCCAAGCCTGTGTGGGGAGCTGCAGGGACATGGATGGAGCCAAGGGAAATGGGAGAGATGCCAGCAGATACGATGCTGGCTGTTGGCTTCAGAAAGAGCAGGTCTGGGGAGTGGGGGTGTGGAGTCAGAAGGTTTCCTAGGGTCTCTGCACTATGTCTCCAGGAATAGTCCGGTCTGTCTCCCCTCTCCGCACCCCAACGCACACGTTTATTCCTTTGTTATCCTCGTGACACCTGCTCCAGGGGGACAGAGACTAGCCATCACTCTTCTCAGAGCTAGAGGGTGTTGGCTCTCCTATTACTACGCCAGCAAGGGGCATGGCCTGCTGGGTGCCTCAGCAGGGGTCCCCTGGGCATGGCCTCACTTGCCCTAGTCACCCTCTGCTTAGGGAAGGTGGCCAGTACCCTCTGTAGCCCCACTGGCTATGTGGGCATCCCTGTGGCACAACTGGTCATTTGGGGGGACAGACTGTGGCTGAGGTAGGGGTCTCTTCGCCAGAAGGGACCATTAAAGGGACATTGCTTCTGAGATGAGAATAAAACACTTGCGTTTGCTGAAATTTTCTAGTCTTAGGGTGAAAATGTCCTATTTTTACACTGTCATAGGAGAAATAGAACCAGGGTAATGTTTCACCGATAATGTAGCTGATTTTGACAGAAAAATGCTTTTTTCCTCTATGAAGTTTAAAGGAGGATAATAGAACCTGGACCCTTACAAGCCCCTGAGTGGCCTCTCCTCAAACAGCCCTCTCAGAAGGTCTGGGTGGAATGCTGGGATCTGGTACCTGCCTCGGGCAAAGGGAGTTCTGGTGCTGCCACTTACTCCGGGTGTAATTTCTGAGAGAGAGAGAGGATGTTGTAGCTCTCTCTGTGCCTCTTTCCCCTCCTGAGAAGTAGATAATGACAGTCCCAGACCTACCTGTCCTCCCATCCTTATTGCCTTGTGTGAGGAGACTGCACACCCATTTCCACAGATGGGGAGCCAGAGCTCAGGGAGGTTAAGGGATTGGCCCGGAGTCACCACACACTTTGCAGAAAGGGCTATTGCTCAAAAGGAAGCTTGGGGTAGCTGAGGGGGATAAAGGCGGCTGCTGCCTGAGAAAGTCGAGTTGTGCTCCTCTTCTAGTCTGCCAAGCTGAGAGCTGAGCTAGTTCCCTGGCTTGGGTCCCCAGGGAGCCTTGGCCCCCCAACCCACCCCACCCCAGGATCCCTCCCCGGAGATCAGCCATCTCACCCTCTCACCACACTGGAGGGTCTGTCCCTTCCTCACTGGGCCTTTTACAGCAAACCAGGCTCTGTAGACTCTTGATTCTTGGTCCATTTTCGCAAAGCCAGGTCCAGTACTGTCCGTCGCAGGGTTTGAGACCATTTCCTACGACCAGCTGGTTTGCAAGGGGTCTGTCTCCCCTTGGTCCCAGAGGCTGCATCTGGATTGCCCCATTTCTGGAGGTGAAGAGTATGGGGCCACCTCAGGGCAGACCCAGGGGAATCCTGGAGCCAAGCGAACCTCAAGGCCCATTTCCACTCTGTACATAGTTGGCACGGTGCTAATCTGAGTTCTCTCTGTGTTCTCATTCCATCCTCATGGCCACCTGGGGACATGCTTACTGTCACTGCTCCCATTTTCCAGATGGGACCAGTGAGGCTCAGAGAGGTTGATGGCCTGCCCAAAGTTAGAGGCAAGTGGAAGAGGGAAGTCCAGGTCTGTCTGACCTGGAGTCCTGTGCCCACAGCTGGTCATTCATAGTACATGGTCTCTGGCCAGGGACACTGGGACCCATGGGCCTGCCCCAACTAGCACTTATGTTCCAGCTGTCCCTCTCCCTCCCTGCCTTGGAGCCCAGCTCAGTTCCCTCTTTCTGGAAGTATTCTGCCCCTCTCCTACCCGTCTCTAGCCCTCCCCAGACCCAGCATTTCTTCCTTTGTTTCCAGGTCATCTGTGGCTGGTGGGAAACATAAACTGAGGCTACCAAAATTTAGCAAATTGAAGGAGTCTTGTGTTCCTGAGACTTGACAATTTCCACACATGTGTTGGATCTGCAGTTGACAGAGCTCACTGTGAAGACAGCTGGCACGGAGCCTCCGCCATCCTCTCTCCCAAAACTGTGGTGGGAGGTGGTCAGGGAGGCTCCAAGCCTATCAGCGGTCCTACTCTCCCTCCCACACTCTACCCCCTGCCATCAGGTTCTCTGGCCTTGGCCTGGAAGGGGGTTTTTGGGGGCTCCTCTTCCTCGTGGGCCCCCTTGGCTGGGCTTCCCTGTCTTGTTTGCTCTGCGAGAAAAGCAGCTGTCTGCCAAGTCCCGACTCTCAGCGCCCAGCTGTGTGACTTTGGGCAAGTCACTTAACCTGCATACTATCCCTGCTCCCATTTTCCAGATGGGACCAGTGATTCTCAGAGAGTCACAGTTTCTCCGCAGTTAAAAGGATGACACTGGTTCTTCTCAGGATATGGTGAACACCGAATGAGGTGGCATCTGTGGTCAAATGCCGGGGCCAGCACCCCACTGGCCGAGCACCGGGGAGGGACAGCTGCCATGAAGGAGAGGCTAAAACGGATCTGCTGCTATCGGTCCCTGAGCATCCAGCTGGGGCCTGGGTGGTTGGGGTCAGTGGTGTCCCGTGAGCTGACCTCCCTGGAACTTAGCCTCTGAGGAGGAGAGGCAAATGGACAGGGTGAGCCAGAGGACAGGCTACGGCCAGAACTTAATGAAGTGAGGTCTGATCTGGCACGAGGCCAACTAATCCATAGCTGCGAAATTGGTTCCATTAGCTCCTTTAATGAGCTACGAAAGCCGGGGAAATGAGTCTGTGTGAGAACAGTGGCACATGTCTGAGGCTCTAATTTGAAACTGTGGTGAAAAAGTTAGACTTGACACTGCCAGCAGCGGTCCAAGGAGCACTGGTGTCCTGGGGTGGGGTGGCGCTTTGGGGAGGGGGGCCTGGCTCTGGCTTTCTAAGAAGAAGACCTGAATCCTGAACTTGAGTTCAACCTGTACCCGCCCCCCCCCCCATCCCTGAGGCTGTGGCCTCTGCTCTGAGTGGGCAGAGCAGCACGTGGGAATCGGGGGCCGGCCTATGCTCAGGGGCCAGGGTAAAGTGTGTTAGAAGCCGTCACTGGTGCCAGCAACACAAGGCAGGCATGGTCTCAGCAACTAGCTATAAAATGAATTTAGCTTTTCCGGTGGTTTGTGTCTTTCATAAAATCAGGGTTTTGTCAAATGGGAAAAATAATGCCAAATAATCAACACTGGGAGTCAGAAGGGACCTTAGACATGATGGAGCTGAACGCTCTCGTCAAGGAGGGAGTGTGGTGGGTTCAAAGTGCTTTTTCTTCCCCAGCAGCTCTCTCTGTGGAGAATAGAGGTTTCCCCACAATGAACAAAATGGGAGTCAAAGACCTGTATTTCCCTATACCATTCCATTCAGTTCTGCTGCCCGAGTGTTTGGCATTGACTGCGAAGCAGTGAATAGCCCAAAAATGCAATTCTTCAGTGTTCTGGTCTGCCTTTGCCCGAGTCTGGGATGAGAGCCCCCCAGTGGGAGAAGAGGTATTGTGGGGGGACATACCGGTCCTTCTGCCTCTTTTGTCTCTGTACTCTGGCCC